ACAGGCCGAGCACAGGCCGAGCACAGGCCGAGCACAGGCCGAGCACAGGCCGAGCACAGGCCGAGCACAGGCCGAGCACAGGCCGAGCACAGGCCCTTCATGTTGGGTGCGGGGCGGCTTCGCCGGAGGAACAGGCTTCGGCGCCTCTGTCGCTCCGGATGATGAGCCAGCAGTCAGGTTCCACGAGACGCCACCTCCGTGGCCAGTGGTCTAGACACACAGAAAGGCGGTGCCAGGCAGCTGCCTCTCACGTTGGAGACTGGTTGTTGAACTAAGGTAGCACACTCATAAGATGAAATTGAATTTTTTTATACTAATAAATTTGCGATATTAGTATAGATTTTTATGAAGGCATCTTTACTTTAGTGTGGTAATCCACGGGTTTCAAGTAATAATAACGTTAATTATCAGACGTGAGTGGGCGACTCCGTACTTTCCGACCTATCACACGAGACCATGGAAAGCCCTCAGCCAGCTGTTTCACGTTTGCCAGGTGATGCAAGGCCCACAGGGACCTGAGGAATCAGTGGCATCTGCTTTGGAAACAGAGACATTTATGCATCACTGGCTTATTGCAATTCTGGGCATAGAAATTACATGGCTTGGTTATTTTTTAAAAGGTCATCTAGGAGATTTAGGATATGCTTATCTCAGTTTTAAAGACTGTCATCCAAAATACAACATTTAAAATGTAGAATATGGGCCGTGGATTTAGCTCAGTGGTTCCAGCGCCTGCCTTGCAAAAGTGCAAGGTTCCGAGTTCAACCCCCTGTACCAACAACAAAAAATGCTTATCGCTTGTCTCAGTTTTAGAGATTGTCATCTAAAACATTCAAAAATATTTTTAAGAAATCTGGGCTCATTGCAATTTGAAAAGGCTGCCAGTGTTGTTTCTGCAGAGACAAAGTTCCATCTGTTTCTCCCGGGACATGGATGTTCCCATAAAACACCAGATTGATCCCCCAAATCTTGATGGCATGGTCATGCTAACATATCTGTTGCAATTACTAGTTACAAACCTTATCTGAAAGATCCATTTTGCAGGACATGTTTAACATTTTAAAAGTATATAAAATACTGTCCCTGCTTTCTGATAGTTAGCAATCCTGCTATTGTCATCCATAATAAAACTATTATAATGCCTTATCAAAATAGAAATCAAACAGGCTGGGAAGATAAATAAAAGCCAATTGAAAACTAATACTAAAATACATCCAACTGAGTAAAAGTCCCCTCAGGGTTTCAAAAAGAAATTGACAATATATGATTCTAAATTTATGAGAGATAGGAAAGGCCAAGAAAAGCCAAGACGTTGTTAAAGAACAAAATAATAAGAGAAGCTATACTTTGAATATAGAGGCTCACCCTAAAGTGACGGAATTAAGGCAGTACTACTGAGCCCGGAACAGCAGACAGACCAGTGGAAAAGATCAGAGTCCCAGTCTGGAGCCTCCTGTGTGGGCGTGTGCTCTCTGGCAAAGAACGTAATGTTAAGTATACGAGTAGAGCCAGGCACGGTGGCACAACCCTGGAATCTCAGCACTCTTACACCTCACCTTCCCAAAGGACTGCAAGTTCAAGCCTAGCCTGGGAAAATTAATGACTTCAGATCTGTCTCAAAGTAAAAAAAAAATAATAATAATAAGGACTGGAGGTGTAGCTCAGTATGAAAGCCCTGGATTCAACGCCCAGCACAGAAAAAGGAGCAAACAACATTTAAAAGTAAATGGCACTAGGTCATTGTGGTAGCCATGTGAAAGAAATTTTAAATTGGCAATTTTTTATTTGAAGACATTTTCAGTGCTTTTAAGTAAATATTAATAGGATTGTGTCATATTTCGATACATTGAAGCATACCTTATACTAGCCACAAAAACAATTTAAGAATGTAGCTTTAAATAGGAATGTTAAATACTTTTATAAGTGATATTTATGACCTTGAGTAGGGAAAGATTTAAGCAGATGGCAAAAAGCAGCAACTACAAAGGAAGATACTAATAAATTCTTAATTTAAATTAGTTCAATTTATCAAAAGAAACCATTAAAGTGAAGAGGCCAGTCAGAGTAGATATATATAACACACATAACTGGCACAAGAGTCTCATCCAAAATATGTAAAGTAGTCCTATAGATCAGTAAGAGACTGAAAATCTAATAAAAAGTGAGTCTAGAACCTGAACTCTTGATTTGCAAAAGGTACCCAAATGGCATCTTAAGCATGTAAATCCAGATTCAGCTCACAATAAGATACTACCCTCCTGAATCGCCAGAGTTAAAGACTGACAATTTCAAGTGTTGGCAAGGATATGGAGCAGTGAGAACTCTTTACTTCCAGCTGGGAGAATATTGTGCTTTCATTGTACTCCAGCTCTAAAGATGAGCATATTCTAGGAGAGCACAGGTACATCAAAAGACATGTACCTGAACGGAGGTAGCATTATTAGGCATAGGGGGGGAAAAAAAAAACTTGAAAAAAATCTCATGAAATACAGTTGCCAACTATATCCACTGTTGTCACTTAGCACTACCTGGTGTCATCTGGTGACATCAGGGCTGCTAGCCAAGCTACTTTTCTCAATTCACGATTTCCATCCGAACTGAGCAAAAAGCCCTGGGCTGATTGACAACCCTCCCCCAATTCCATGTTGCCCAGGCTGGCCTTGAACTCCTAAGGCTCAAGGGCTGCTCCTGTCTCAGCCTCCCGACAAACCGGACTACAGGCAGATTCCAGTGCTTCCAGCTGATGGACCATTACTTTCATCAGCTTAAATTCTGGTTCCAGGTTTGTTTCATTTTGAAGCAGAGAGCTATATTCCAGCTAAAATTTCAAAATACTGGTATATCATTAGTGACTGCATAAAAAGTAAGAATAGAATGGGGCATATAGTTTGTAATATGAAAAGTCTAGGTTTTATGTGAAATTTCCCCTCTCGAGAGTTTATCGTGTTTTATAAATTTAAAGCCCACGGGGCCATTCAAAGTGAAGACAGCTCTAGAGCCCGAGGCCAGTGCTGCGTGCACCCCGTTTCATGCCCCCCCCCACGACACAGCAGAGCGCGCCACGGGCCTCAGGCAGATGGGCTGTTTCCTCGCGAGATTTAGAGAAGCCTGGAGACCTCCTGCTGCTCGCCTTGCACGAGCGTCTCTCCCCACCACACAGTCCAGGCTGCGCTTGAGTCTCGGAGACGTTCATCCTGGGTTTGTTAGATACAGATTTCCAGGGCAGAAAGCGGCCGCCACCCAGGGTCTCCTGCCGGCCACCCGAGAGGACGGAGCAGATGACCGGTGCTCTGGGGAGGACTCGTCACTGCTGGGCCGGGGGAAGAGGAGCAGGAGGCTGGGTCTCCCGGACTTCTCAGAGCCCTGGCTGGTTCCCGGGGACAGCCCCTCGGCACGGTGTGACATTCCTCAGAAGATGCATTTTACCTGCTGAAATGGCCTGGGAATTTTTTTCTCCTTCCTTAGAGGTAACTGCAGGGAAGAGACCGACTTTGTACCAAAGCATTTGTTACAGTTCTCCTCTACTATGAGGTATGCAGAACGCAGGGATTGTGTCCAACGGTGACGAAAAATGGAAGTGCAGACAGAAGGGGTAAGGGTACAAATTTACTTAAAAGATATAAAGGGAAGAAACTAAAGCTCCTGGCTAGCTTTACTGGGGGTGCAGAGTAGGGTAGCCACAAGGGTTCTTTAGCTAGGGGTTTTTGAGGGGCTTAGAAGGGAGCTTGGGCCACTGTGTAGGCAATACAACCTCTACCCTAGAGGAGTCGACTACTCTTTTAAGGTCCAGCCTGTGCAGTGCTCACCTAGCGCCCATGTGGGGCCCCTGCAGGAGCCCATGGCCTGCAGTCATGCTCTCAGAGCTCCCGGGCAGCCGGGGAGACTTGGCAGGTTTGCTGTAAGACCCCTGGAGGGTTGTGACTCAGCAGCCTCCGTTTTGGGCTTCCTGGCTATCTGGGGGTTGCGGTCCTCGGCTCTCACGGATTCCCGCTACAGTGTGAAACATGAATCCCCTCGCCTCTCAGCCATGGCCCTTCCGGTTTCTCAGTTTTTATTCAAACTCCCTGCACGCTTTCTGAACGTGGCAGGGGAGGCTCAGTTAAGCCGTTTTGATGAAATCAATTTCCATTTACCAACATGTGAAAAGTGCGCGTCCTGGAACTCCAGACACGGCTTGCGTACAGCAGCGTCGGGGAAGTCCGGTTTAGCCTCAATTTGATAACATGAACCCATGAACCCATGAACCACGGACTTGGGCCTTTTCCTGGCTTCTCCCACCTGACCAACAGCCTTGAGCCGCAGCCTCCTTCCGAAGGCGCGCCCTGAGGTTCCTGTCGCCCACCGCCTTTGTCACCTCCCTGCCTCCCGAGACCGTCACACAGAGGGACTGCCCTGCAGAGACCATCACCCGGGCACACACTACCCTGGCTGCAGGAAGGAGTTTGTTCGCAAGCGCCGGCACACAGCTGCTTCCTTGTACTTCCTGCGGCCCTCGAAGTTGGCAGATCTAAGAAATGTGAGCATTTATCAAAAAAGACTTTCACTTTGAAATGTTCCTTGTTTCAGTCCAGTCCTTTTGGTAGAAAAGCAGTGTTTAGCCTTGCTGGGCTCCTGCACAGATCCACAGCACGGCAGCCCCCTTTCGGTTCTCACCCCAGTGTAAACGCCAGCCCTGGTGGAAGCTTCTCAAGTCTCTTTCCTCCTCCTCCATCGGGCGGGGAGGGCGTGCTGCACACCGCGGCCCGAGGCCTTGGGGCAGATCTGTTCCCCGCATGCGGGCGCAGACGAGGAACTGGGGGCGCCGCAGGGTTCATCTTCTCCACGCTGAGCGCACCCAGCACGGTGCCGCCCCGCCCTGTCCCTTCGGGCCGCGGTGCAAAGGGAAGGCCTGGCCTCCGCTACTGAGCCTGCCTGGGCGCCTGGGCGCCCCCGTGCGGGACCCTTCAGCCGCGGGCAGCCTCCGTGCTGCGCGATCCAGTGACCCCTCAGCCCCTGCAGAGCGGGAGCCCAGCGTCTCCGGTGCTTCCTGTGGGCACAGGCTCTTCCTAAGCTCGGCAGCAGGCTCCTCACAGGTATCAGCGAGCACTGTGCAGTGTGCTTACCGAGTTCGCCCTGGGAAAACATGGTTCACTTGTTAAGGAAGTCATGCTTTGTGCTTTTTGATAAATTCTAATGATTGCTCTTAATTATTAAACACCATAAGGAAAGATGAAATACAAATGGCCAAACATTTGCAGATATATATTATGAACAGATTGGTAAGAAAACATCTTAGTAAAATGTCAAAAGATGAGTAGTTTAAAAAAACAGACATCTAATGAAAACATGAAAAAACTTTAAACACCACTTGATAGTAGAAGAAATATGAAAGCATACTTTTTTCAGCATCAGCTTGGGACAAGAAAACTCAAAATTCCCCGCACGGGAGAGGCTCTGGGACAGCGCCTCCCGCAGGCCGTTGGCCGGGGCGCCCAGGGCGGTGCCCCGCCGGGCTGCTGGCCGTGGGCCCCCACAGCTTGGGACGCTGCCCGCCCGCTGACTCATCTTAACAGCGGGACAAACCGCGCAGGAGAGCGGCCGGGCTGTTCCGGGCCGCATCGTTCAGTTCTCTGTCGGTCCGCGAGTGACTGCAAGGACGCCACTTCCGCTCGGGGTCCGGTGACCACACGGGTCGGGGGCGGAGGACGCGTCTCATCCTCCAGCGAATCGTTCCCGTCTAGCCACGGCCCCCGCGGCCACTCCGGACGCAGCCCCCCAGGGGTGCGCTGTGTGACCCCGGGCGGCCCTCAGGGTGGGCTCTGTCACCCCGCCTAGCACCAGCAGGCACAGGGACCAGGCAGGCCCGGGACTCCTTCGTTTGCCTCCCACCGCATTCACGGAAGCTTCCGGGTCCCAGGAAGGCCAGCCTCGGCCCTCCTTCCCTCTAGCGCTTGGGCCTGCAGCCCGGGGTCCACCTGGGGCCTCGAGTGCCCAGCGAACACCAGGGCTGGTGCTGTCGGACTCGCGGTGTCTCCTCGTGCAAGTGTCTCCAGATGGTCATTTGGAAAGCACAAAGTTATGTTGTAGATTTGCAAGAGGCAGCATTTGGAATTTGTAGACACTGCACATTAACTTACATGTCACCTTGTGAAAACTCCAAGTACTCGTCTATGAGGTTCAACTAATTAGTGCAGCTAACTACACTGGTAACCCAACCTGGCGTTATGGGCATTACACTCGTGAAATAGTGAACAGATTAATAAAGTAATAGTCATGTTATTGTAGATCAGCTTGGACCAGGCAGCTGGAAATAACTGCTCTTTACCCCTAAATCCTTATGCTAGAGCGATACCCAGCCACTTCGAGAACTGTGGCTTTGTAACAGCTGAGTTAACTCTCACCCTCACGCCCCACAAAAAAGGAAAACAAAGTAGCATTTACTACCTTCCATTGTATAGACACTGTGCTAATGTTAGCACACTATTCCCCATTCAGTTTAGTGATAAATATACACAGTTGCTGGCTAATAAAGAGGTCAGAGAGGGAAGGGCATGTTGTAGGGTTGCCTTTAGGGTTTGCAGTGCATGACCCCTGTAACCACACAGCTCTGAGGATTGTCTTTCTTGCTTTTATTCTGGAGTGAACAGAGCTCACTCCGCCTCACTTATGAGAAAATATGGGGAAGAGGCAGCGAGACCTCACTGCCATTTGCCTTGCGCCGATCCTTTTACAGGGTCCATTGGGATCACTGAAGGGAAATGCTGAGCGCCCTGTGTACAGCTGACTGGCAGCAGCCTTCGGGAAATGATAGAAAAGCGCTTGAAATGCATGCTACTCTTTGAAGGTCATCTTAAAATTCTGATAACTGAATGTATCCTTTAAATTTTGTTTCTGTTTAATGGAATTTCTAGTTTTAGTTTTTAAAGGAACTTCCATAGTTTCCATAGTAGTTACAACTGGCTTACACTCCCGCCAGCCGTGTAGCCATTCTTTCTGGAGAAAGATGGAATCTCAGGGTTGTTTCACTTTCCATTTCTCTGAAGGGCAGTGATGTGAAGTATTTCATGTATTTTGTTGGCCATTTGTACTTCTCATTCTGAGATCTATTCAAGATCAGTGGTGAACCTATAGCACGTGCCATAGCAGGCTGTATCATTGAAAGCTGGAAAAGGTTCCCCCCATCACTGGTCTGCATATTAATCCTGTCTCAGGTGCAGCTGGTGAAATATTTTTCCCATGTTGTAGAGGCTGTCTCTTCACTCTGTTTCCTTTGCTGTGCAGAAGCTTTTTAAAATTTGATATGATCTCGTTTGTTGATTGTTGACTTTATTTTTTGTGCAATTAGGGTTCTGTTCAGAAAGTTCTTGCCTATATGCCTGTCCGAGAGGTTTACCTATTTTATCTTTCAGCAGACTTGTTTTTAACATTTCTATTTCTGATTTTAGATTAGTATATGGTGAGAGATGTGGGTCTAGATTCAATCTTCTGCATGTGGTTGGCAGTTTCCCCAGCAACATTAAAGAGGCTCTTTTCCTCCAGTGAATGTTTTTGGGCTCTTCGTGAAAGAGCAGATGGCTAAACTTGCCTTGGGTTGTACACCTGCATCCTCTAACTTGAAATCCGGGATTGTGATGCTCCCACTTCGCTCTTATTCCCCGGGATTCCTTCTGTTAGTCTAGGTCTTCTCTTGTTGCATATGGGATATCAGGACTGCTTTTTTCTAGTTCTGTGAAAAAAGTGTTGGTATTTTAAGATTGTGTTAAATCTGTATATCAGTTTTGGTACTATGGCCACTTCAACATTGGTTTTGCCTGTACGGGAACAGGGGATCTCTTTCCATTTTCTGATGTGGTACTTTGATCCTTTTTCAGAATACTGTACTATTTCAGAGGTCTTTCACTTCTTTGGTTAGGTTAATTCCCAAGTGTTCAGTTTTGCTTGATGCTGTTGTAAATGGTATTTTCCCAGTTTCTGTCACAATTAGTTTACTGAAGAATGTTGATTTTTTTCATTAATTTTATTGGTACAGTTTAGGTATAACAATTTGCTGGCACATTCATTATAGGGAATTTGTACCTTTACATAATATACCTTGGTTATTTTTTCCCCATTCCCCTGGCCTCCCTTCAAAATCCCTCCACCTTTCCCTATTTACAAAGACTTCTTTCCTTTCCCCCACCCCTTATACTTCTCCTTCGCCCCTTTTCTTCCTATTTCACATCATACAGTTTGATCCTTATTTACACTTTCAGTTTCTCACAGAAACTATTCAGTGTTTACACGTGTGTCCTATTTCACTTGAGTATCGCTTCAATGTGCATTCATTTAGTTATGTCTCTAGTGTCCTTTATGGCTTAGTACTCGATTCTATAAAAAAATTTATTCAGTTTCCAGTTGATGAGCAATTGTGCTGTTTCCAAGTTTTAGGTATTACAAACTCTGCCACTATAAACATGGGTGGACAAATATTGCTGTGGTATGATTCTTTTAATTCTTTGGGGAAGATACCCAGCAAGGAATAGCTGGGTCAAATGGGTCAATCCTAGTTTTTTGAGGTATCTCTGTACTGATTTCCACAGTGGCTGCACCAGTTTACACTCCCACCAACAATGGAAAAGGGTTTATCTTTCCCAACAGCCCTGCCAGCATTTGTTACTGGTTGATTTGATAGCAGCCATTCTTTCTGGGGTGAGGCAGAATCTCAGGTGTTTTCATTTGCATCTCTCAAATGACCAGGGATGTTGAACATTTTTTTTTCCATATATTTGCTATTTCTACTTCTTTGAGAAATGTTTGTTCATTTCAGATGCCCATTTATGGACTGGGTCTTTAAATTTGGGAGGTTTGATTTTTTTAAAGTTCTAAATAGACCTTTGAGGAACAGCTAAATTTTTCCCACATTTTGGATTGTCTGTTCATTCGGGTTTCTTTTGCTGTGCAGCTTTTTAATAAGAAATCCCTCTCTTGATTCCGTGCTGAGGTTTTGTTCATGACATTTTTTCCTACACCAATGTCAAGAGTTCTACCCTAACCTTGCTTACAGCAAGTTTAGTGTTTGTTTTCATATTTAGATCTTTAATCCATTTTGATTTTAGTTTAGTGCATGGCGAGAAATAAAGGTATAGGCTGAATCTTTGGCAAGTTGAAGCCCAATTTTTCCAGCACCGTTTATTAAAGAGGCTATCTTTCCTCCAGTGAGGGTGTTTGGCTCCTTTGACAAAGGGGTGGCTGAGTGTGTCTGGAGTTGTTTCTGCATCTTCTAATCTGTTCCACTGGTCGTCAGGTCTGTTTCTTTGCCAGTAACCGCGCTGTTTTTAATCACAGTGGCTTTGTAGTACCTTGTCTTTGTTGCCTAGAATTGCTTTTGCTATTCTAGGTTTCTTGTTCCAAATGAATTTTTGGATTGTTTTTGAATTTTTGGATTGTTTTCTCAAGATCTGTGAAGTATGCTTCTGGAATTTCAATTGGGATTGCATTGAATCTATATATAGCAGTTTTGGAAGTATGGCCATTTTTCACTATGTTGATTCTTCCTACCCAGGAGCAAGGGATGTCTTTCCATTTTCTGATATCTTCAATCTCTTTTTTCAGAGTGCTATAGTTTTCAGAGTAGAGGTCTTTGATTTCTTTCATTAGGCTGATTCCTAGGTATTTCATATTTTGGATGCTATTGTGAAAGGAGTTATTTATCCAGTTCCTCTGTTCATGTACAGGGAAGCTACTGATTTTTGTGTGAACTTGTATCCAGATACTCTACTGAATTTAAATCTAGAAGACTTTTGGTGGAGTTCTTGGGGTCTTCCATATAGAGTATCACGTCATCTGCAAATAATGAAAATTTAACTTGTTTCCTTATCTAGTACTTTTATTTCTCTTGTCTAATTGCTGTGGCTGTTTCCCAAACTATATTGAACAGGAGTGGTGATAAGTGGACATCCTTGTCTTGTTCCCGATTCTAGTGTGAAGGATTTCAGTTTTTGACCATTTAGTATGATGTTGGTTTCTCAGATGGCTTTATCAGGTTAAGATAAAGACATTCTATTCCAGTTTTCTGTAGGGTTTTTATCATGAACGGGTGTTGGATTTTGTCAAATGCTTTTTCTGCATCTATTGAGATGATCATATGGTTTTTG